GAACAGGATGGGAAGGGGATGGAGATGAGACGAGACAGGATGGAAGGGGATGGGATTTGATGGGATGGGATGAGATGGGACAAGATGGGACTGGGATGGGATGGGACAGGACAAGATGGAATGAAATTGGATGGGATTGGCATGGGATGAAATGGGATGTGGTGAGGTGAGGTGGGATTGGACGGGATGAGATGAGGTAGGATGGGGTGGGATGAGATGAGATGAATGAAGTGGGATGGGATGGGATGGGGATGGGACAGGAACAGGACGGGACAAGATGAAATGAAATTGGATGGGATGGGATTTGGATGGGATGGGATGAGGTGGGATGTGGTGAGGTGGGATTGGATGGGATGAGGTAGGATGGGATGGGATGAGATGAATGAGGTGAGACTGCATGGGATGGGATGAGATTGGGATTGGGATGGGATTGGGATGGGATGTGGTGAGGTGGGATTGGATGGGATGAATGAAGTGAGATTGCATGGGATGGGATGGGATGGGACAGGACAAGACGGGATGAAATTGGATGGGATGGGATGAGGTGGGACGGGATGGGATGGGGATGGGATGGGGATGGGGGACACCCCACTGCTGCCCCACAGCACCCCCCGTGCCCTACCACGGTCGGTGGCGGTGGCCATGGCTCCCTTGGCGTCGCTGCTGACGCAGAAGCTGTGGCTCAGCTCCGGGCAGCGCCGGCGCAGCTCCGCCAGCAGCGCTGTGAGCGCGGCCTCCTCGTCACCCCCACTCAGCGACAGCCCCTGCGCCACGGCTCAGCGTCACCGGGCGGCACGGCCGGGGGCACTGCTGGGCGCCCACCACTGCTATAGGGCGGCGGGACGGGGGTGGGACCGGGATGAGACCCTAAGGAGGTGACCCATGGCGTCCACATCGCTGCCGGTGGGGTGACACGGGATGGGACCGTGGGGCTGCGATGGGAAAACGGGGCTGGGATGGGAGCGGGACACCAAGGCCAAGTGTGTCCAGCACCACCAGCAGGGTGACATGGGATGGGATGGGATGGGATGGGATGGGATGGGATGGGATGGGATGGGATGGGATGGGACAGCGGGACTGGGATGGAGACTATGGAGACCAGGATGGGACCAGGACCCCAAGGCCGAGTGTCCCCATCACCACCAGAGGGGTGCCTGGGGATGGAATGGGACAGTGGGACCCAGGAGATCAGGATAGGACTGGGACCCCAACGCCAATTGTCCCCATCACTATAATGGGGTGACATGGGATGGGACAGTGGGGCCATGGGGATCAGGATACGACTGGGACCCCAAGGCCAAGTGTCCCCATCACTGTAATAGGGTGACATGGGGATGGGATGGGACAGTGGGACTGGGATGGGACCATGCGGACCAGGATGGGGCCAGGACCCCAAGCCGAATGTCCCCCATCACCACCAGAAGGATGACACGGGGATGGGATGGGACAGTGGGACCGGGATGGGACCATGGGGACCAGGATGGGACCAGGACCCCAAGGCCAAGTGTCCCCATCACCACTAATGGGGTGACACGGGGATGGATGGGACAATGGGACCAGGATCGGAGCTGGGATGGGGACCATGGGGCTGGGCTGGGACCGGGACCCCAAGGCCAAGTGTCCCCATCACCACCAGGGGGGTGACACGGGGATGGGATGGGACAGTGGGACCGGGATGGGTGCTGGGATGGGCTCATGGTGACAGGACGGGACCCGAGGCCAGGTGCCCCACGTGCCGCAGCCCGCAGCGGGTGCCGCGGGGCAGAGCGCAGGCTGCTCACCAGGGCGCGCAGCGGCACAGCGGGGCCCAGCCCTGCACGGCGCTTCGCCTCCTCCACCATGGCCTGGATCCGCTCCGCGCACAGCTCTGTGCCCACCAGCTGGGGGGGGGCCGCACTCAGACCCCCCCCAGCACGGCTCCCATCCCTCCCCCCCATGGCCCCCCTTTACCCAATGGTTGGTGCAGGGCCCCTCGGTCTCGGCCAGGACGCGGCCATCGGCGCCCACCAGCACGGCGTGGGAGTGGGTGCCCCCCCTGTGGGGAAGGGG